AATTGTATGTAGTCACCAATGCTCTTGCTGAAACTAAAGTAATTTAAACGATGGTTTGGCAGAAGACTGCACAGCAAGAGAAGAGAGATGAACGATTCATAAAACAGCCAACCTTCGGTAACTTTGGTGAAAACATCTACAGAAACTAGTCCAACTTAGCAACTGATAATCTTCATCATAACTGGGACGTATTTTTAAGTCACATCAGAGAAAGATAATCTGTTTAATGCATTTTCATGCTTTTTCTTGTGAATATACGTCACTTTTTCTCAAAAATTCCTCGTATTTTATGATTGACAGGCTGAAGGTCACTCGTGCTTTCCCATCCCTTGCGACTCTATTGTTGACCTTTGCCCCAATCTCCTCGAGAATAATGACAGCCAGGTTCAACTCAAAAGGAAGGAAATTTACAATCATTCAATGCTATGCGCCTACAAACGTCTCAGAACAAGAGAAGAAGGAGGCGTTCTAAAGACAACTACAAACATTAATGGACAACGTCCCAAATGGCGATATCAAAATCCTGATGGGCGACATAAATGCGAAACCGGGAGGAGACAACACAGGAAGAGAACTCACCATGGGTCGTGAGGCCCTCGGTGAAATGAACGACAATGGTGAACTCTTCTCAGACTTCTGCGCCTTCAATGATTTGGTGATTGGCGGTAGTGTGTTCAAACACAGGGATATACACAAGACGACATGGATTTCACCAGACGGACACACCAAGAACCAAATAGACTTTATCTCAATTTCAAGAAAGTGGAGACGGAGCCTACTGTACACAAGGTCGAGGAGAGGAGCAGATGTGGGTTCAGATCACTATCTAGTACAAGGGACTTTCAAGGGGAAACTAAAAGCCTCGATGATAGCTGGGGACAGGCCATAATGCAAGTTCAACACTCAGAAACTGAAGGACACAAACACAAAGGACAATTTCACTGCAACTGTTAGAGCAAAGCAGGAAACACTACGCGACATCACTGAAGAATCATGCGTGGAAGAACATTGGAACTCTCTGAAGGCGATTCTCAACGAAACGTGTTCAACGGTTCTAAGAAGAAAGAAGAGACAAGACAAGGAATGGCTCTCAACGGACACTTGGAAATTAATTGAAGAGAGGAGAATAGTGAAAGAGAAAATGATTCAATGCAAGGACGGACAGGGGAAGGAGACGCTGAGCTCAACTTACAAAGCACTGGAAAAAGAAGTGAAGAAGAAGGCTAGGAAGGACAAAAGACGGTTCTACGACAACCTGGCCACTGAAGCTGAGAAGGCAGCAGGCAAAAGGGACCTGAGGACACTATATCACATAACCAAATCTCTATCCGGGAAGAGATCAACACAAGCGAAACCTACTAAAGACAGTCAAGGGAACCCAATTACCAAGGAAGAGAGACAGATTATACAATGGGCGGATCACTTCAAAGGACTCTTGAACCGACCATCACCTGCAACCCGTCCAGAAATACCAACAACAGCGCGCACACAACTGCAAGTTGACACCAATCCTCCAACGAGAGCTGAAGTCTTGAATGCAATCAAGCTCCTGAAAGCTGGAAAAGCAGCTGGACTAGATGGAATATCAACTGAAGCACTCACTGAAAGCGGACCCAGAGACTACAGCAGACATGCTGACTCCATTATTGCAAAAGGTCTGGAAGGAGGGAAAGGTGCCTACTGACTGGAGGAAAGGTTACCTCGTGAAACTACCAAAGAAGGGCGACTCAGGCCTGACTCTGCAAGAACTGGCGAGGAATCATGCTCCTATCGACGCCAAGCAAAATCCTGAGTCGCATCATCCTGGAGAGATTAAAGGACGCACTGGAGACAGAACTCCGCCCCACCAGAACAAGCTGGATTCAGGAAAGGCAAATCATGTACTGACCAAATTGCAACTCTACGCATCATCTTCACAGAACAAAGCATTGAATGGCGATCAAACCTCTACCTCAACTTTATAGACTTTGAGAAGGCCTTCGACAGCGTTGATCGTGAAGTAATTTGGAAACTACTCGAGTACTATGGCGTACCCCAAACATTCATCAACCTTATTCAACAGCTGTACGACAACGGCACATGTCAAGTGATCCACAACGGAAAACTCAGCCAGGCGTTTGGAGTAAACACAGGAGTCAGACACATCGAGATAGACAAAATTTATCAACCAATAAGAAAGAAACTTCACACACAAGGGTCAAAGTTCAAGACAAAGAAACAATCAGCTCCAATACAACTAACCTAGAAGGTGTGAAAACACCCACAGACAACCAATCACATCCAAGGTCACCAGGAGAGATGATTAATAAACTCGTAGAGAAATCTAAAAGCTCACTTTGAATTGAAGTATGCGCTGGAGATGTCACCCAGTAGGGTGATGAAAGCTTCGCAAACTAACCATCCAGTTCAGAGAACAAAACCACATCAAAATAATATTATCGCCAGTCAAATCAGAAGAAGATAATAAATAGTAATCTCAAAATTCTATTTCACTTCCAGCAAATGACAACATTCTAACAAGTTACTTAAAATGACTATAAAAACACTCGTCTTATTTCACACGTGATTGTAATTGATCAATAACACTCGAATTATTATTTCTGAATGCACATTATCTCATATTGATTTATATTTTAAAATCTAGTGGATTCCACCCATGTATGTAAATGAAGCAAGAAAGTTGTGTGTGAGTAAATGATATGACTATGACTGGCAATATTTTTCTCGAAATGTCATCAGTTAATATTACTGTACAGCACTGTGTGATTTTTCAGAATAAAATCTCATCCATAATGGAGTTTTGAAGGTGCATACACGATCTGGTTAAAGTTTATTATGTGATGAATTCAACTATGGGTAATTCCCATGTAGAGTGGTTGTCAAATATGGACTTTGTTTAGGTATACAGCGTTTGATTACACAGGGTATAACGATTTTCATGAATCTTGTTCTCTATTCATTCCCGAACCACCTAACTGGTTAACCACATCACAAACACAAATTATGGAATTTACTCAGCATCTAAACCATTTACCGCACACATATGAGAATGGTTATCGCATGAGGAAAAAATCAGTGGTGCATTTACAATCAAACAGCATGCATACCATGAGTCCCGACAACTCAGGGGCTGTTAATTCCTCTCAAATCTACACTTTGATATTCTTTCTTTTGTGATCAAATTTGTATTAATTCCCACTAATAAATGGAATGACTAATATTTGTCACAGAATTGATCACAAGGCGATATCACTTAGAGGACTACTGGAAAACCAGGGAGCACAGGACAGTATTTCCACCCTAGCTGAAGAACCCCGAACCGTGTTCACACATGATCCCACCGACGTTCAATGTCACGAGCTTCTGGTCACAACAACTGCCTATCACATAATAACAATGTAATTCAAACATGTAATATTATTGGCTGGTATCAGACTGGTGAGATCACTCATCACCGAGAAACAGGATCTCACTGATCGACTAAATCAAGCATTTGACTGAGTGATATTTCACATCACAATGTCTTCTACCACTAGTCACCTAGAAACATGATGGTCTTGGGTTCAGACCTCAGTGGCGTCACGTGTGAGCACTGCTGATAGGTGACAAACTGAAGAACAGAAAATTCACCATTCCTCCATGCTTTCGAATGATAACATTGCTGATGTACTCCATCCAGGAGGAAATCGTCTTCAACTCCGTGATTTCTCCACAAGTTTATTTCTAACTAAATCGATACTAACACCTTCCATAAATGGCCGGTAGTATTGTTCTCTAAAACATCGTGAAAGGACGCGAACTCATTTCATACAAGATTCAACTGGAAAACGAGTATTCTCACTGGATCAAGAGTTTCCATTCAGGTCAGCTACAGGACACTCAAAGAAATCACCTGTTTCATGTGCAAATACATGGATGACAGTCACCTCAGCACCAACATACCAACCAGCCTCACATCTCAAGCACTTGTAGCTAACATCAACATTCAGTGTGAAAATTGAGGGTCACTTCAATAATGACACGTACAGACAAGTGATGAAGTTTCATGGTCTCTAATAACAGCACTATTTTGACAGAATGCTTCAAATATAGTTTTGACAACAGAATCTTCAAACCATCTGTAGGCAGAATACTGCCATGTGGAAGGTAATGAGTAGTTCTCATCCTTCAAATGAGTGAAACTAGAAGGAGGAAATGAATCAAAGCCTACACTTCTGGATGTACAATTACCAATCAGACACGATGGGATCATTGAAACGTCATTCTGCAGAATGGATTCACAGAACAGCCAGACAACAAAATTTCACCTGCTTATCGTATCAGATGAGTGTGAAGCATTCGATGAACATATTTATAAACACAAGCACCACGGACGATGTCTCAAGCCACTTATTTATATTCGTCGTAGTATTACTGCTCTTCAAGCCCGTTTTCATTTCCCTACACTCTATCTTCGATTACTTCATTATTTCTATCATCTTACACACGGTACTATGATTATGATCATAAAAGTTCTAATTGCATATCATGCTGGTATTATTCTAAGCATTCACACTTTGGTTTAAATTTCCTCACGAAATATAATTTTCCCATATAAAAAACCACATGTATATGATTTATGATTGCATAGCTTGATAATGAGTTCGTTGGAAAGAGTCTCTTAGATGAAAATGGCATTCTTAATCTTAGTTAACTTAGGAATTGGCAAGCTGCTGGATCGGTCCTGAGTCAAAACTCACACCTTGAAACTTAACATTATATTGGTCTACCAACCACCCCTTTCTAAGTCGAAACATCCAATAATCTTTTCTATATATTAGGTGTTAACAATTAACGAATCACAAGACAGTATATTTTTCAGTCACAGTGCACTCGTAACAAGTTAAGTAGTGGACTGGTGTGTCGCACAATAAAACACTGACATCAACCAAATCTATTTAGCCGTTTTATCTACATTACTGGATTGTAGTGATAACAGTCAAGTGAATCTAACAAATTCAATGGAGAAGTTGACTGATGAATTGGCGAGTATTTTGATAGATGACTTGAGACTTGATGGAGATTTGGACTGTATGCTGCCGGATTTCCCTTCTCCTGGCATTAATCATGAATTCGTGCTAATGATTGACAAGAAGTTAATGCCTGAGTGTGATACAGAGGACCCGAAGCATGCTAAGAAATCATGGATAACGTGTGCTGCGACAGCGGCTGCTTATGTGTACAAGTCTGTTGGTGAGAGTGTATCCCAGCCATTACGCGTATGGTTAAGCAATGCAGCGAGTGCAGTGATCCTCCATGGACTTCTTGGAGAGCTGACTGCTTCAACACAAGAGGATTCAGACAGAAATCGAACAAATGAGAATATATCACTACCCGATACAGTTGTAGATGATCGTTCGGATGGTTATTGGTATTATGGTAGTTGGACGGTGGAGAATGTGGCGAGTAGCTCGGAGATGAGAGGTGTGTTGAAAGCTGAGATGGCGAATGCATGTGTCTCGGTGATGATAGCCTCTGTGGTGAATTACTTTGAGGAGAATCGGTACACACCGAGTGGCTTCAGGAAGTACAGTTATGCATGTAGAGTACTTAGAAGTGGTATGATGGAGAAATATGGTCTGACAGATGAGTCGGATAAGACGAAGGCAATGCTGATCACTGGTCATTGGGTATCGAAATTGGTGGTTTTCGGTATGGCTACGAAAGACCGACAACTTAACCACCCAATTAGACCTGTGAAGAGGATTGGTTACAAGCAGTCTGTTCGTAAAATAGATATCAGTAAGTATTTCTATGATGTTCCGGCTGGCTTCACATACACACGAATCGCCACGCTATAGCCATAACAATGGTTCGATCTGTGTGCATCCCATACTTTGATAATTTTTCTGAGCTGATTGACTTACGAGAGCTTTGCTGTGGAATACTTTGTGATCCATTTCATTATCATATAGATGGTGAGTATTTGACTGGTTCACCGAGGACAACAATCAGTGACACAGGGAACAAGCTGTTTGGTCGACTGATCACATATCTTAAGATCTTTGAACCGAGGAGCGAACTACTGCTTATCCTCAATTGTGTATGAAGGGAGAAACACGTGAGAAGCACTACATGGATTACAGTGATCAATGGGAGAATATTTTGTTGGTGATTTTGGATGCGATTTCCAAGCCAACTGAACTTTCTGTACTAGATGCGGTAAGCAAGAGGTGCAGTGTTTCCAACAAATTTCTGCTGAATGCTGACATGCTGAAAGATTGTTGGAATTATTATGACGTTAATGGTCAAACGCAGAGTTGATTCGCAAAAGTTTCTCCTCAAAATGAGAGATAATTTATCGCGTCGTAATCTCAACATGTAGAATGAATGTTTTAAAATTCTGTCAAACTACAATTTTAATATTTCGAATGAATATCCACTTGATTCTGTCTAGTCTGTCTTTTCATTGTCGTTGGATTAGTGTTTGATGATTGGATGGGAGACTGGGTGAGTGAGTTTATGATGCATTTAGTGTTCTAACTTCATGGTCTGGAAAGCCTGGTATTTGTGTTTCAGAGTTAGATTATGATGTTTGTGAGTAGAAATGATTTGAACAGTAGGATGAGTGATTGTGTTGATTGACATTTGAATACATTAGGCGGATATAGTTACAGAGTGTATATTGTTCATTGTGGAGAAAAATATTCTCCTTGTATGGATTTCAATCTTGAATTGAAATGTGAAAACAGACTGAAAGCAGTTTGACCATTGGGAAACACCATTTCCTCAAACGATTAGCAATATGAATTTAAGAAAACGCTGTATATGTCATCAGATGTTTGGAGAGTATTGGTGATGTCGATAGTGTTTGTGTTCATTTGAAACGCTACAACAATGAACGAAATATTTTCCGACATCATAGATTATCGTCTTTTAGTCATACTCTCTCTGCGAATCCAAATTTTATTCATTCGGCTGATTTTGAAATTTCTGATGGCACTCAAACATCTTCCTTTCTCCTCCGGCCATCTCAGTATTTCGTTTACGAGAGGGAGACTTGATTGTTTCGTGTTCTGTGACAGGTGCACAGGGCATACTAGTACGTTGACATTATTATTATTATTGTTGTTGTTGTTGTTTTTATCTCACCCCTTAAAATGTAGGAGGATGTTGGTTGAACTGTGCACTGTTCCTCATTTCTCGATTTAGTGAAGATGCTGTTTAGGAGTATGAGTGTATGTCATATTCGTGGTGAAAGTGAACAACAGAGGCCAGGTGAAGAATATTTGATGGTGATTTGAAGTAATTCTCCGTCGGAGAGAAGAATGTCTAAAGCATGTTGTGAAAATTGGTGTGGAGTGAAATTCGTCGAATAACTTTTAAACTATGCATTGAGATTTGTCCATGTTATAGTCGTCGTTGTTCACAGATAAAATCAATATCGACGACACAGTGTCTCAGCTTGGCGCCCACTTGAAACATAGGTGAATTTTATTCAAACGTTATCTGTATTTGAGACTCAGAATTGTAGGGTTCGTGGATAATCAATCGATACGAAACGACTGTCTATCAGACGAGGACGGAAACACCCGTGAAACACGTGTGAAGTGAAATATGTGTCATGAGAAACGTTTACATAAATATATAATAAAAACGGATGTGATGAGCATCTGGTGTTTGAAATGCACAAAGGAGTAATTTTCAAGTGTCACAAGAGTCTAGCTGTTAGTCATAGTTGGTCATCAGGCGGACGTGACATTCGATTGGTGGACTAACGCTGGATTCAAGGATGATTTCTACATCTCGGACAAAATTTCGTCAGAGGATGGCAGGAAATGGTAGGGTATTGGAGAATTATTTCTTTAGGAATACGCACGTATGACGACAGTAATAACAGAACACAGGACACTGAATTCACAAGGCGGACACGTTACCATCCAGACGCTGGGTGGGGGTTAGATGGCCTATGAATTCGAACTTCCTCGAAGTTATGAGATACTGCATGACGAGGATGCAATGTCACGGTTGAGTACCTGTCCTCACATCAGACATTGTAGACCATACTGGTGATTAGAAGTCAATGAAATGGACGGTATTATCTTAAGGCCTCGACAAATCGCAGAGTAAGCTATTTATTCCTGTTATCATAAAACCCAGTAATGTGATGGTTTCAATTACGCGTAGAATTACCGAGTACCTATTGTTAATCCTACAGCAAGCCTTGGAGTCTTTGATTCGTTTGAAGGATGAGAACTACTCAATACCTGTTAGAGGAAATATCTATCAGAAGCACTATGAGAAGCTGAAAAATTGTCGTCGGTATACCTATCATAGAGCAGTATTCTGTCTACAGATGGTTTGAAGATTCTGTTTTCAAAACTATATTTGAAGCATTCTGTCAAAATAGTGCTGTTATTAGAGACCATGAAAACTTCATCACTTGTCTGTACGTGTCATTATTGAAGTGACCCTCAATTTTCACACTGAATGTTGATGTTAGCTACAAGTGCTTGAGATGTGAGGCTGGTTGGTATGTTGGTGCTGAGGTGACTGCCATCCATGTATTTGCACATGAAACAGGTGGTTTCTTTGAGTGTCCTGTGGCTGACCTGAATGGAAACTCTTGATCCAGTGAGAATACTCGTTTTCCAGTTGAATCTTGTATGAAATGAGTTCGCGTCCTTTCACGATGTTTTAGAGAACAATACTACCGGCCATTTATGGAAGGTGTTAGTATCGATTTAGTTAGAAATAAACTTGTGGAGAAATCACGGAGTTGAAGACGATTTCCTCCTGGATGGAGTACATCAGCAATGTTATCATTCGAAAGCATGGAGGAATGGTGAATTTTCTGTTCTTCAGTTTGTCACCTATCAGCAGTGCTCACACGTGACGCCACTGAGGTCTGAACCCAAGACCATCATGTTTCTAGGTGACTAGTGGTAGAAGACATTGTGATGTGAAATGTCACTCAGTCAAATGCTTGATTTAGTCGATCAGTGAGATCCTGTTTCTCGGTGATGAGTGATCTCACCAGTCTGATACCAGCCAATAATATTACATGTTTGAATTACATTGTTATTATGTGATAGGCAGTTGTTGTGACCAGAAGCTCGTGACATTGAACGTCGGTGGGATCATGTGTGAACACGGTTCGGGGTTCTTCAGCTAGGATGGAAATACTGTCCTGTGCTCCCTGGTTTTCCAGTAGTCCTCTAAGTGATATCGCCTTGTGATCAATTCTGTGACAAATATTAGTCATTCCATTTATTAGTGGGAATTAATACAAATTTGATCACAAAAGAAAGAATATCAAAGTGTAGATTTGAGAGGAATTAACAGCCACTGAGTTGTCGGGACTCATGGTATGCATGCTGTTTGATTGTAAATGCACCACTGATTTTTTCCTCATGCGATAACCATTCTCATATGTGTGCGGTAAATGGTTTAGATGCTGAGTAAATTCCATAATTTGTGTTTGTGATGTGGTTAACCAGTTAGGTGTTTCGGGAATGAATAGAGAACAAGATTCATGAAAATCGTTATACCCTGTGTAATCAAACGCTGTATACCTAAACAAAGTCCATATTTGACAACCACTCTACATGGGAATTACCCATAGTTGAATTCATCACATAATAAACTTTACCAGATCGTGTATGCACCTTCAAAACTCCATTATGGATGAGATTTTATTCTGAAAAATCACACAGTGCTGTACAGTAATATTAACTGATGACATTTCGAGAAAAATATTGCCAGTCATAGTCATATCATTTACTCACACACAACTTTCTTGCTTCATTTACATACATGGGTGGAATCCACTAGATTTTAAAATATAAATCAATATGAGATAATGTGCATTCAGAAATAATAATTCGAGTGTTATTGATCAATTACAATCACATGTGAAATAAGACGAGTGTTTTTATAGTCATTTTAAGTAACTTATTAGAATGTTGTCATGTGCTGGAAGTGAAGAAGAATTTTAACATTCTTTATTTTTCTCCTCTGATTTGACTGTTGGCAATAATATCTTCGATATTTCTGGTATTTGCATTGAGTCATTTCTGTTGCATGTGTTGTGTTGGGTGTAGACTCGATGAACCAGGATTCAGTAATCAATCTCTCTCTTCACCTACATAGATTACTTTTTAGAATTGTAACCCTATCCCACCCTATTGTGTGGTTTTGTGTTAATGCGTGAGATGCAATTGCCGAGCATTTCTCTAAATTACTCATCTTCTCGGGGTCGACCATTCTTACCATAGCTAAATTCTTCTGTTCCGACAATCTGATTTCCCCGACCTATTAGTTTGACCTATGTAGTTGACCTTACCCACAGTCATTGCAGGGTATTTCGTATCGACTCAACAGGTTTCTTTAAACTGCAGAGCCTGTCTCTGAGTGAGTTTGTAGGTTTGGATTCCACCCTTATCCCTGCTTTCTCCTCGAAACGTCGTCAGTTAATATTACTGTACAACACTGTGTGATTTTTCAGCATAATGTTTTATCTAAGCTATTCGCGATGATCTACATAGTACCGATTCTGACTCATTTGTTTTAATTTGTTATCATATAACTAGTATATGCATTAACCTACTGTTTATCTTGAAATATTCTGCTGTGAAATACAGTTTTACTTAATTTAATAATCTTTTTTCCTTCACATTCCCAGTGGAACTTAGGGCTTCAAGCTAGTGGCTTGAAGTTTGTGTAGCAGTGGTGGTTATTTTTATAGAATTGGGTTTCTAGCCTCATGCCCAACCTTTCTTCTTTACCAGCATTATTACTGGCTCAGCGAGAGAATGGAGTGCGTCGGCCGAGAATCGAACCGAGGAACATGTTCATGGGCGGCGAGCGTCCTAACCACTATGCCACCGACACACAGTATTACTTAGTGTAATTAAAAATCTGATACCTTTGTTAAATTATAAAGATGAACTTATCAGTTTAGACTAGATAGATTGATCAAAATAAGTTAAAACGTTAAGACAATCAGGTATCAACCAACCTTTAGTTTTGCAATTTTTAAACCCCTGTATTTTACCTATTGTACCCTATTGCTCTCCATCAATCTTTCCTGGGCTTCTCAAAAAAGAT